CAGCACTTGTGTGTCGTACTGGATGTGTAACTTAGTTGTGCCTTAGGCTATTGAACAAGCTGCAACTCCTAGCTCACCACCCACTCACTGTGGTGATGGACACTTAAGGAACATTTGAGCAAGAAAATACAACGTCTTTTTAAAATATTTTTTCCCTCCTCCCTCAGGCCTAGACCTGAATTAGCGTCTTTGCCCGAGAGGCAAATGGCTTCATGCCTCCCTGTGGGCTGAGCCCAGCCTTCGGTGTTGAGGTGGGTCATGGTTTTGGACGGAAGGCAGAACGCCGGCTGCTGCCTTGCTTCCAGGGCACCCAGCCTGTCTCTGCCCACCCTTTGATCGCCCTACTGTCTCCAAACAAAATGCATCTCTGAACATCACAACCTTCTCCTTTTCCCCCCCATTTCATTCTTTCAGCAAGAGGGATGTTTGGAGCGGCTTTCTGGTTCCGCGTGATTCGTAGCAGTGGTTGAGGCATGCCAGTAAACAGGCCAGCACACACACACACAGATGAGTTTCTCCCCGCTGCCCTGTAAGATGGGAGCAGCCCTCGGTGCGCGCTGCCGGCGGGGCCCGAGCCAGCCGTGCTGCGTTGCAGGCCGGCCCGGGCTCGCAGCGCCGCGCTTGCCCGGCAGGGGGCGGCCGCGGCCCGGCGATGCTGCGGCTGTGGTGGCGGCGCGGGCAGCGCGGCCCGGAGCGGGGCGGGCACAGCGGCCAGGCCGGCCGGGACAGGCTGCCCACGCTCCCAGCCCTTTCTCCTCCTCCGCCGCGCCGTACTGGGCGTTCCTGTCCCGCTGCCTCCGAATGCGTTTTAGCAAGCTGCGGTAATTCCTTCCCTTCTCCTTAGCTATGCTGCCCGCCCTCACACCTCCCCGGGCCGTATGAGAGAACCTCCGCTCCTGCACGGAGAACTCCTCGGAGCCTGGCTGTGGCGCGGTGCAGGACGCAAGTGTGTCTGGAGCTCTCATGAGCTGTGGACATTGAAAGATTTCAAGGACGTTGTTCTCCATTCATCCCAGTTATGTCCTCTGCTAAAATAGGTTAACGGTGTCTAATTAACCACTGCACATTGTTATGCTGCATAAAGATAGCATCCTGACTGTTCTCTGAGTCCAGCCACTTTATCTCAATTTAGATCTCCGTGGTAGTCCATTAAATGGGAAAGAAACAGTTTTAACAGAGATGATGTCTACATTGGAACTGCCTTTCACCCTTTAGCATAGAAACTGCAGGCAGCTCCGCTGTACATCAGGGCATTGTGTGGCAGCAAGGTCTCGGGTTTAGGTTTAACCCGTTCTCATTGATGTGGACGAAGGATTCCTCCTGGGCAGAACTGAGCAAAGACAACACTCAAGAGAGAGATCAGATCTACATCCTCTGCCGCAGGGCAGAGCTAGGAGACAAATAGGTATTCTGTACTGGGAGTGACATAACATGGGGTTACACAAGGACTGTCAGGGTCTTTCACCCAGATTCACAGCTATTCAATACCCTGAAATAGAGAGGGGATAAACAGCTGTCCAAAGCCAGAGGGAATATTCTGGGATTATGATTATGTTTAGGAGTGCTGATGGCCTCTCAGGGAAAGGGAGTTTAAAGGGAACTGTCCAGCGGGTGGAGTGAGTTCACGTTCTTTGCCCCTCCAGTTGTAATGGACTTGGGAACATAAGTGAAAAAACCAAATGTATCCCTGTCTCACAAAAATGGGGAGTGGCTGGTGTATAATACAGCAGATTGAATGTATTTCTGAGCACTGCTCCTGGGATGGTATTGCTTTGTTTATCTTTACTTGAGTGACTGTATCTGTAGTTCACATTCAATTGCTCATTTTGTAGGTCCTTGTTGCTGCCCTCCCTGGGCTGTGCCTGCTGCTGCAGCAGACAAAGCAGGGCAGTGCACTTCATGTTGCTGAGAACATGAAAAAAGGGTAGGAAAGCTGTGTATGCTGGCTTGTCAGGTTCATTCCATGTCTGCTTTCACTCACCACTAGAAAGCTCATGAGATGAATGAAGAGGGTGCTGTTTACCTAGACCTGATATTCCTGAAGGAGGAAATGTTGGTCTCAAGGTGTAGCAATTAGCATTGGTAAGATGCGACTATTCTTAGGAAAGGGTACTCCACAATCCTTAAAGCAATGTGATAACATCATTAAGAAATCCTGTACGCTGCCCCATAGTACTTGGGGAGCAAAGAGACAAGCAGTTGATTGGTTTTGCAGGAATACTATCTCTAGGCAGCCCTCAGCTAAGTTTATGGAATGGACAGAATTGAAGGTGGGGCACCTTTTGAAGATCTATTAATGATTTCTCTTGCTGCCTTGGAGGTTTTTAACCTTAGGACATAGGACAGAGTTTGTCTTTCCTCACAGAGTCACTTTGTTATGTAGATTTAGGTACTGCAGTTTTGCCAAAAAAGCAAAAGACTAGTTAAACCAAAAATGTTTTGTGATTTTTCCCCCAATCTGAAACAAGAACTCAAAAAGTAATTTGGCACCAAACAAAATGAAAGGAAGACTTATTAAAAAAATAGAGGAAATGGCAGGTTGCGTGATATCTTCTTTGCTCGATCATTAGGGCCACGGAGAACATAAAACATACGATTCCTTCCTGTGCTACAGAAGCTTCATACTATATTTTTGGCAGTTTCTACATGTGAGTTCATGAGCTGACTTGAAATGCTAGTTTCATCAAATAATGCTGTCCCAAATCATATATTACCAAACATATGCAGTACAGGTGACTGGAAGCAGATTTATCTCTCCTAAACAGAAAAGCAGTCATTTCTAGCTCCTGCTCCAGTGCTGTTAGTATATAAATGCTCTGTATAAACTGCTGTACTGTCAGCATGACAGACTTGCCTCACCCAATGCCACCATTGGCACTGGTGGCACAGGGACTAAGGTGTTCTCCTGGGGCTGCTGACCATGGGGCTGTAACTTGCCCTGGGAAGAGGAAGGAATGGTCTTGTTTGATGCGAGAGTTCTAACACCTGGGCTCTGGTATCAAAGGGGCCAGTACTATTCCCCCCCTCCCTGCTGATGAGTTTGTTCCCCAGATTACTGTTTTCCAATATATAATGCAGCTGTTTCATAATGAGGTATTTGCTTTTTGTTGTGAATAAGTCCTTTCCTAACAACACAGAAAAGTTGAGAAAGCCTAAGTCTCACAACATAAGCAAAGCAGTCTCTGCCTCTAAGATTAACATGACTGCCTTCCCTGTGGGCCACCTGCATATCACTCATGACAGGGAGCTTAGGAAGAAGAAACAGAAATTGCTTACAGGGATAGTACTAGTGACCTTTTCTCCTGGGAAGTATGAACACGTGGAGTGTTTCATTCCTGCCTGGAGACAGGAGCAACGATGTAAGGAGTGTGAGTACTGAGGAAGAGAGTGTTACTTGGGGTTGGACAATCATCAAGAGTAATGGGATCATGCCAAGAAGATGGTAAATTGAACCCGCAGGAAATCATCTGTGCATGGCTGTGCAATGCCATCATTTGGCATGTTTCAGCATGGAAAAGGCAAGGCTGTGTGGAAACCAGTGAAGGCATCAAGGAGGAATAAAATAGAAGAAATCTTACATCATCTTTCTATCTCTATCTTCTCAGAGACTAAACACCACTGGGTGCTGGTGGAGGGCTCTCTGAAGCCATCTATTTCTTTCTTCATAGTATCAGGAGGTTCACAAAAAGTGCATTGTACTACCACTGGGAGAAGGATGGAGCTGGACAGTTCATCCTCACTGGAAGAGCTCTTTTCCCAATTATGTTCCATTTTTGCCTTTGAACAGAGGGTGCAGATATAGCTGAAAGCCCAGGTGCAGATGTCACCACACAGCTGCAGTTCTGATTATAGCAGTTGATATTACTGGGCTCAAATCACTGATTCAGACTGCAAGCTCCAGAGAGAGCAGTAGAGATCAAGGGCTTTCTTCTCCTTATACCTCTTCTCTGTATAGCTAGACATCCTCTCTGCCCTACTCCTTGCTCTTAGAAGAGTAGATTATTCACAGAAGAGCTAGATGAGGACTGTGACTTGCTAGAACAGAAAGCAGAGGAGGAGAGGCCTCTGCCATGTCATGAAGTGCTTTGAAAAGAGCAATGCAAGGCAGTGAAGCAACTTCTCTTACATCTTGGTGCGTCCTGGGACAATGCATATGATAGGGGAGAGCCCCATGTGTTCTTTGTCATGGCACCCTGACTTAGGGGACGGGAGAATATTTATTCCCAACACATAGACATGAAACTTCACTCTGCAAAATGGCCAAAGCAATCAGCGAGTGATGGAGTATCTGCTAAAAAGAAACCTGGCATTTAATTAACTTTTCAAAGTGCTGGTTCAGCAATCTCCATGTTTTACATTTTGAATATTGAACAAGCGTCCCTAATCGGGACTGAATTACTTCTGGGCTCGCTGGGGTGGAGAGCAAGGGAGCTGCCATTTGCCAGTCCCTCCCCACCATGTTATTGTTATGAACTCCTGTTAACTCAGCCTGATCAACCCTGTTTTTTTGCCACAACTGCATGTGTGACCTGAGCTTGGCCAGCTCAGGTGGGACTCCTAACTTGAAAGGCAACCAGAAAGTCTATGCTCAGCCATGGGGAGGAGGAAACTGCTGATCTCTCAGGAGTAGGTAGACAAAGTATAGCACCTTCTTCACTCCTTAATGTGCCAACCTCTCTACCCAGGTATGGCCAGCTTTACCTGCAGCTGATGGCAAAGGGGATAAAAAAGTATCTGAGAAACTAAAGAACCAGGGAGTATGGTTCCTGTCATATCTGGGCATGGCTGTCTTTTGGGCCCCAAGTGGTTTTGTTTCAGTCTGTTGCACTCAGGGACTTTCTGATACACTGGCTTCATAGTCACTCAGAACTCTCTAAGGTGTGATGTGTTGTATCAGACCTGATGCAGGAACTGTTTGCACAATAACAGTCATATGGGGGAAGGTGAAGTTTTTCATTTTTTCTAGCCTTTTCTAAACATAAGCCATCCTTGTCTTGCAGGTCAGGAAGAAAGCATGCAGAAGAAGTAGAAGAGTAAGTTCCCATTGTTGCTGAGACTTCTTCCACAACTTTTACATCTGATCTGATCATCTAACCAGTACACCAAGATCTGAAAGTTGGGAAGGATGCAGAGCCTGTCAGGAATTCTTATCACGTGTCCTAGAATGGGGCAGTGCTGGTCATTCTATAGTTCCCTGGATATGGAGTAGATGATGGCTCTGTCACTCCCATAAAACAGAAAGAAGGAAAATGAGAAAGCCACTGCTTTCCTCCCAGACCCACCCCAGGCCCTACTGTCTTCAGCCTAGGGGTTTGTCTTAGGTACGTCCTGCTTAAGCTGAGACTTCTGCTGAGCCCAGCATTGAAGGCTAAGCATACTTGGAAACTCTCTCTTTGACAGCATACTAGGAAACTCTTCTCCTTTGAAGTTTGTGGGGAGGAAGGGGGCACAAGAAGATGTTTTTCTGGACTTGCAATTGAAATTCTTTCTTGTGCTTTGCTGCAGCTATCGTCTCAGACAGCAGAGCCTGGAGGCATCAGATGATGGAGGAGGTAAGGTACTTGACCACAAGAAGTGCCTTCATGCATGTCTAGGGGCTCTCCAGTAAAGTGAGCAGAGGCATCTTGTAAGAAATTGCAAGGAAATTAACCACTCTGGGGGTAAACAAATGTAAGAGCTGCTTAGGTCTCCCCAGATGAATGAGGGAGAAAGGGTAAAGGAGATGGAGAGGGAGGATGAGGAAGTAAACTTGTAGTCTAACTCTGGCTCTTCATGAACACAATTATAGAGGACCTTGGAAAGCAGGAAAGTGGCAAGGATGCACTTTTCTCTGTAATTACCTCCACGGAGAATAGTGGAGTGGGCAAAATGAGAGGTAAAAGAGGGTTAAGAATGGAGAAAGAGGTCCCTGCTCTCCTCTGGTTTAGGTGGTAGTAGGCTCTGCTAGAAGCATCTGTTATCTTTTGTAGCAATATCCATGTTGCCTGGGGTTTCTGTCATGATGGAATTCTTAATTTCAAAAATCTGCTTGCCCTAATCCAAGATCATAAATCATAAACTAAGCATAAACAATGGTGGGTAATCCCATTTCATCCCTTTACAGGCTGCTATGAAATCTATTGAACTCCTAACTTAGCACTAGTTTTCTTTATTGTGTATATTACCTGCTCTTCTAGGACTGGATGAGTCAAGAGAAATCTCAGGAAAAATCCACAGGATTAATTTCAAGACAAGCACTAGACAACTGTGGGGAGCACAGAAATTCATTAAAGCCTCTAGGAGGTACCTCAGTTTTCAAGGGCTAAGAATTTTATACAGTGTATATAAAGCTGCATCTGTAAAATACCACCAAGTGTCAGAAGAATTATCTGGAGTCACAAAGGATCAGATATCAGTATGGTTAATGAGATTAAATGAAGACTTATTTGGGTCTTCCAGACAGTTTAAGCATTGCAACATATGACTGCCAGAAGTGGCACCTTTGTAGCATTGGCATCTTCAGAACAGACTAAATTTTCCCCCTGGGACGTTCCTTGGGCTTCTTAAATTTCAGCGTTTGTCACTGAGGCTGGTAGTCTGTTCTGAACAGCTCTGTTTGCATACGTGCTGTCCTTTTTGTTGAACCTTGGTCATGCACTTGGAGGATGACTATCTTTGCTAACCAGGCATAAAAATGCTTGCCACATGTTTGTTTGCAGCATGTGACTTTCAGCACTCCAAGACCTTGGGTAATAAATATAGAATAGAATTGATGCAGAGTGTGGTATGAGGACATATTGAATCCTAATAGACTTCACTTCTTTATCTGTGTCTAACCTGTGGTTAGCAGCTGAATTTGGATTGTTTGCAAACTGGCAGTTGGCTTTGGATTAAATGTATGCATTACAAGAAAGATAGAGTATGGTTCCTACCCAGGCAGCTTCTGGTACAAATACACTGGGTTGCGGATCTACTTTGTACATAGAAAAATCTCTAAATGGATGGTGCATTGCATTGCTGTGTTCCTATTTTGACAGGGAGATTAGGCAAACTGCTCTGGGAGAGGAATTTTCCATGCGGGCTCAGCAATTGGAGTGAAGAAAAGTGACATATAAACAAACTCCAGAACATGAATAAAATTACTTTTTGGAATAAGCAGAGAGATACAAATAACTGCCTAGAGTAGAAGGCAGGGAGTAGCATGCAGTGGCTCTGGCTGTGCAGTAAATTGAGCTGTTCCAACCTTCCCTTTGCATAGAACTGCACTTGAGTTTGTGTCCTTAACTGGAACAGTAAAGCTCAGATTCTAAACAAACAAAAATCAAGACATTGGTGTATGGATCCCCAAGGATGGGTCACGGTTATTTTGTGCTGCATAATGTCTTAGCTTGTACAGCTTAATATGAACAGGCGCGGTTGCGTAATGATTGCTGCTGTCAAGCAATACATTTGGATCGCCTTCCTTTAACCTATTAAAAAGCTGAGCTGTACCATTCCATTAACATTGTTTGTCCCCCATCCAACCTTTTCATTAGAAGAATGAAGGACAAAACTATATGCCCTTAAAAAGGTGTTCTTGTGAATTTGAAATGTGCTCAGTTGTGATCGTTTATACATCACTAACAGCCAAGGGCTCTGAGATTGGAGTCCATTTGAGAATGTGTTAAAAAAGTACAGGGGCTGTAGAGAACCAGTTTGGCAGGTGGAAGGTGGAAGGAAGTTTGTACAGCCAAGTGGAGACTTCTGGGCTTGACAGGCCTTGTAGTTTCAGAAATAAAAGTAGAATTCTTTCACTGCTCCTGGCTTGTGTATGAAATAGCATCTGATTCCTTATCTCAGGGAGTGGGAGTTAGGGGGAGAAGGATGGACACTTCTCAGGCTGTGTGGAATGAGTGAAAGCATATGGGAGGTGGTAAGTAGGTGGACCAGACAGGGACACGCATGGAATGATCTGCAGTTTCAGCCATTCGTTATGGTTGCACAGGGAAACCCAGAAGGTGGAAGACAGTTGTGAAAAAGTGCAGTGTCTCTCCAAAAGTAGCTCTGGATTATCTAGTTGACAGCTAGGTTGATTTCCTACAGCAGCCACTGCACTCTTAGTGCCAACCCTCCTGAGCACATGCTGGTACTCATGAGAACTCGGGCACAGCAAATGGATAATGCCTCTGTTTGTGGGTGTGTGCCCACTGGACCTTGTCATGGGGGACCAGCTCCTCTGCATGGTGAGAAACCTGCTTTAGCAGGATTTAATGCATCACACTTGAGGAATAATAAACCTTCACAAGCAACACAAAAGTGTTTAATTCCTAAAGGACAGGCCTAGTTAAGTCACTTTTGGCCAGGGGCAATTGGGGGCTTAATGCTTTGTATGTAGCAATCTGTGCAATCTGAGAGAGAGGAGTTTGAGGGTAATTGCTCAATTTTCTGTCCATGTCAACAGGGAAAATGAGCAGCAGTGACTGAGCTCTGTATGGCAGGGAAACTGCTTGAGATGGGAGATGTGAGACCCTCTGTGGAATTTAAAAGGTGCTATCTACAGCACACTGCTTCCTTTTCTGTAGCAGCTAAGAGCTTCTGCCACGTGCAGACTATCCTTTGTCATGAGGTGGGAGGGAAGATGGGACAACCAAGCTAAAGTTGAAGGGCTTTATCCTCCCTTTGCTCCTTTTCTCCAGCAGGACATAGAGGGCTTTACTCTGCTCATGTGTGTCTTTCTGGCACAGAGCTAGATAGGGCTGTTTTCTGTCAGGGAGAGAAATGCTAACATTCCTCCCCCACCTCAGCAATCTGATATGTCCTTTGGTTAGAAGTTTCTTTGTTTTTCCTTTCTTGTCCACCAGTTCGGCACTGCTGTGTTGTATTCCCTCTGATGTCTTTCTCCTTACTACTTTGCCCTTGGATTTTTTCTCCTCAGCACTTTATAGGAACTTATTAGCTAAGGTTGTTATTCCTCTCCCAGGTATTCCCACACAGACTATTGCCCCACCATCAGAAGTCCCTGTCTGCTTTCTCTCTGTTACTCTTGGGATGCATAGCTCCTAGAAAATGGCTTTTCTTGGAAGACTGGGATGTGATGTGTGATTTTCTGTCTGCAGGAACAACAGCTTGTTATTTTAAAGCAGATAGTGTGTGTGAATGAGACAGCTGATTGAAATGAAAGCCTGACTATGCTATACAGACAACTGGAACCTGACCTGCAGGTGAGGAAAGCTGCCAGGAGACAGTCACTGGATCTGTGCCCTCAAGGCAAAACCCTTTCCTGCCTGCTGGGAAGCCTCCTCAAGGAAGCAGAGCTGATGATTAGACCTTTCTATGCAATGTCAAACCTCTAGAAGGACTTACCTTTCTGGCATGTGCCAGCAGCTCCTTTGCATTTGAACAGGATGAGAGTCCAGACTTTGAATAACAGAGGGGAAGTGGGCAGATGCCATGGTCCCCAATCCTTCTGGGTAGTGATATCGGTCAGGTGGGAGATCTGGAATTCACAGCCATAAAATAACCAACACTTCTTGAGCTGCATGCAAATATACACCAATGATGATATTGTTCCAAAGAGCTGAGAATAGAGCACAATGAGGGTTATTGTTGGCTCTGTCATTCCTGATCAGTTTTGCCAGTTGCTTCCCTGGTGAGCTGCTGTTTCTACAGAGCACACCCAGTGCTGGTGGATTCCAGAGGCCATGAGCTGCAAGGAAAGCTGCAGTGGCTGAGCATGAGGGTAACAGAGGGCAGAATCTGCAGGAACAGTCAGGGATATGGCAAGTCTTCGTAGGCTCAGAAGGCAGTGTTGGAATGGTTTGGGGAGAGCTAAATGGATAAAAAGTTCTGAGCGTCAGTGAAATGGAGACAGAGTTAAAGACATGCTGTTTTGGAAGTGGAATGATGGGCTGAATAGGTTTTGGGGCAGACGGTGTCAGTGGTTATTGGGTCTCTGTGACTCTGCATTTTGACTTCATGTATGGCTCTGTCAGCACACCACAGCTCTCCCCTTTGCTGCTCCCCCACCCAATGCACTACTCTGAGTCTCCGTGCAAGGTCACTGAAGGGCAGACTCGGCCCAGCCTGATGGTTTCCACTGAGCTGTTGGTCCAGGCCAGTTTGAACTCCTCCAATAATTGCTGGCATAGTGATCTAGAGCCTGTGGTGCTGGAGGAAAGCTCTCTCTTGAGAGCCACAGTGGACAGAGGAGAGCAGAGAGTATGTCCTGAGAGACTGTCTGAGGTTCTGTTTGAAGCAGCAGACCACTTGCCAAGGGTCAGTGGGCTCCTTAATTACAAGGAGCACACACAGCTTGTTGAGGGCTGAAAATGGCAGTCTGGGGAAGCATCTTCTGTTGCTAAATTCTGTGATACGGTGGATACACAATCATATTGGGTCTGTGATTGGTGAGTCCATAAATGTATTTGACGGACTAGGTTTACCTAAAATACCCTTTAAGAAAAAGCTCTTGAAAGATGATTACAGAATTGAGACACCATCATTTAAAACTGCCTGAGGCAAACTCCTTTGAAAATTGCAGCAGTGGAGGGACAGAGAGAGAACTGCGTAGCCCTTGATTGTAGTGTCGTTCCCT